TGCTGGGTCAAAGGGCATGCATAGTTTGGTTGCCCTTTGGGCATAGTTCCAAATTGCTCTCCAGAATGGTTTGATCAGTTCACAACTCCACCAACAATGCATCAGTGTTCCAATTTTCCCACATTTTCTCCAACATTTATCATTTTCCCATTTTGTTATGTTAGCTAATCTGACAAGTGTGATGTGATACCTCAGAATTGTTTTGATTTGTATTTCTCTAAACAATAGTGATTTAGAGTATTTGGAAAAGTGAATCTTTAGGGAAGACATCCTAGCTGGTTTCCAGGTATTTGAAGTGTTATCTTGTGGATGATTCTATTTCCCTGCAGATGGCAGAATTAAGAGCAATGGGGCACTGAATGTAAGATTGAGCAGAATTAGAATTGCCTGATTTAATCATTAAAAAATCAGGGATTGAAAAATCCATTTTTTCCTTTTAATGTTTCTTTATTGGGTATGGTTTTTATTGCTTTGTGGACATTCAAAAATGTACTCAACATTTCTGCTTTTTTTGCATTCATGAGGATTTCATGCTTTAGTATATGGTCATAGAATCTCAGAGTTGCTTTGAAGTAAACTTTAATTTCCAGTGATTTGGAGCATTTTTTCACATGGTTCTAGCTAGCTCTGATTTTTTTCTCTTTGAGAGCCGACCATTTATCAACTGAGGAATGACTTGTTCAAAATTTGAATCAATTCCTTATATACCTTCGAAAGGAAAACTTTATCAGAGAAATTTGCTGCCAGGATTTTCCCCAGTTATCTCCTTCTCTTTTAATTTTAGATGATCTGGTTTTGAATGTACATACACTTTTTAATTTTATGTATCCAAAATCGTTCATTTTACTTTTTGTGAACCTCTCACTTGTTTGATTATTAGATCTTCTAGTATTCATAAATCCAAGCTTGTTGACATTGTTTATTTCCCTCTCAGTCTGTCTCCCCATGCTGACCTGGGCTGGAAAAATGACTTACTGTGATTTTTTTAAAAAAATCCTGATTAGAATACGGTCTGATTTTTTAATAGATCTTTGTGGAGTTGTGGTGAGGAAGCTGAACTTTCCTTTTTCCTGCTTTTCTGTTATCTATCTCTAATTAATTTTGAATTCTTTCTTCAGTTTTCCTTCATTGGATATAATTTTTATTGCAGTGTGGTCATTCAAAGGTGTTTACTATTTCTCCCTTTTTGCATTCATGAGATTTTTATGCCCTATTACATGGACAATTTTAGCGAAGGTTCCATTCATGATTTAGAAATAGATATATTTCTTTCTATTCCTATTCAGTCATTGCCACAGGTCAATTAGAGTTAATTTTTGAAAATCCTATTCAGGCCCCTGATTGGTTTCTTTTCTTTTCCTTCTTTTTTTTTGTTGCTAGTTTGATTTGTGTAACTCAGAAAGCAATATATTGAAGTCTCCACTTATTATATATTTCATTCTTCACTCTGAGTCCTTCACCTCTGTATTAGGAGGCAAATAGTATGTTTCATCATTAGTTCTCTGGAATTGTGATTGGTCATTGTACAGATCAGAGTTTCTAATTCTTAAAGAGTTGTTTGTCTTGAGTATATTTTTGTCATTGTAGAAGTTGTTCTCATGATGCTGATCATTGCACTCTGCCCCTGTTCATGCAAGTCTTCCCAGGTTTCTCTGAAACAATTTCCTTCATCATTTCTTATAACACAATAGTATTACATCACATTTATATGCCACAATTTGTTCAGCTATTCCCCCATTTATGAGCTTCCTTTTGAATTCCCATTC